ATATTTGAAAACATTCAACTGATATCTTCAAAAAAAGTTGTGTATGACCCAAATCTTTGACTCGTTTTTTCAATTACTATGTTCCAACATTTTGTTGAAAAGTATTTTTTGAAAAAACAAAATGAGTCACATGTACTAGCAAAATTTAGATCTTTGTTAAGATCTTATAAATTAGACTATGCAAAATTTGTAATAGCAACATGTACAACTAATTCAAAAGTGATGCAGCGTGCATTTGAGTTTGTACATAACAATTTGTATAAATATAAATATAAAATTTATTCTTTCCGTATAGCTAATATGTATGTTTAACTTAAGGTAATAAAAAGATAAGTTAATTGATATATAATGTGCAAAAAAATGATAAAAATCAAATGGTTGTTGAAATTATATTCTCACAACATTTCAACTTTGTTTAGTAATAGAAAAGGGGGAAAATTTCTAAAGTTATTATAACTACATTTTTGTTTTAAATCCTTCAACCTCTTTTTAGTTTTTTTGTCAATCCCCAAGTAAAAAAACATTGTCTCACTCTCTACTCTTTATTTGATGTTTTAGTCAACTACCTAGTGTTATAATATTATTTCATTAACATTTAAATAATGAAAAACTCTTGTACTTCCTTTGTCAGACAAGAATTGTTCATCTCCCTGCTCAAAATTAGGCATTATTATTCACCACACCCTTTATTACTAGTCACCGTCTCCCTTGGACGGTTTTGCCCTTCACTACTCTCTCTCTACTCTTTCCCTCTCGATTTTTTACGGCTCTTTTGACCGTCAAAAAATTTCGAAAAAGTGCCAAAAAAATACCATGACATCGGCAAGACATTGAAGATTGACCATGTATTTTTTTTTCACTTTGTAAATAATTTTTAAATTTTTATTTTATTTTTTTTGGCGCGTCCGGCCGGTAATTGCGGACGCGAACGAAAACGTAATTGAGGGGACGGAGAGTAGTAATAGGGGGCGGTGAATAACACGGCATTGGGTCAAGGGGTTGGGAATCAGACAATGATGGAACGTGATTGAGTGATAGATCAAGAAGACCCCCTAGAACTTACAACATGAGTGTCAGTTGAAATGGTTCAAAAAACAGAGATAGAAAGCGGACTGATGCCCGTTTTGTTGGACATCTTGGAGCCAATAGCGCTGAATTCCTGTGACTCTGTCTAAATTGGACCGCGGATCACTAAGATTCAATTGATTCAGACAGTTGGCAATGCATTCCAAAGCTTCTGTCCTTATGGCACGCTCTGGAAAGGGGGATTCCGAAAAGATTTGACACTCTGAACCGAAAGAAAATCTCAAAAGTGGTACTCACATTATTTTATCAATTTCTTCCAAAATTATGTCTCATCGGAGCCACACTCACCGCGCATCACAATGCGTTTATAAAGTTTCCTCAACAAATCTCCACTAACTAGTAGTAGTCATGGCCACGGGCTGATCCGGTCCGCTGGTTCGACCCGATCCGTTCTAGAACCAGCTCTTGGTCAACGGGCCTGGATCTAAGCCCGTAGTTTGACCGGGCTAGTTCCGGGTCTTGTGTATAATTTTTTTTTTCCCGGCGCCCGCGACGTTTTTCTATTTTTTTTTGGATTGGGCCGGGCCGGCTCAGTCCGAAACCCGTGCTACCCGACCGTTGGCTCAGATTTGATCTAGGTCGTCGAATGTATTAGCCGTTGGAGATTCAATGGTCTATTTTTTTTTTTATTTTTTTTAAACCAGTTCGGTCTGGGTTCCGGGTTTGGGTTTGACTCGGGCTGTTAGGGTTTAACGGTCGCCAAGTAACGGTCAGATTTTTAAATCTGATCATTGGTTGTCTTGACCGTTAAGATCCAATGATCAAGATTTGACTGACCCGATTGACCCAGTGGGTTGACTTGGACCCGACGGGTCCCAAAATAAAAATAAAAATAAAAAAAGTGAAAATAATTTTAAAAAAATAAAAAAAAAATCCAAAAAATAAAAATGTATGAGTATCCCCCCCTCCCCAAATCAGATTTTTCACAACATTTGCCTCTCTTCTCTACTCATTTCTAAGTTCTTGAAGTGCTAATTGTTTAGTTTTTGTACTCAGTTTTCTATAAATTGGTCCGATTATATATATATTCGGTCACGAACTCTCGGTTCTGTATATTCACTATCATTTCAGTTCTGATATTATAATTTCTTTACCGGACCTTTCGAGAATCCTGACTTCGACGCAACTAATACTCTCTATTTCTAATTCTATCATTTTTCACCTTTTTTTTTTAATAAAAATATTCTAGTTACAAAATGTCGAGTTTTCGTCGTGGTGGTCGTGCTGGTTATCGACGACCACAAAAGCATAAAAGTGTAGGCGAATCTTTTTCGAGTAGACCTCCATTGCTGATGCCGAGACAAACGATATACCGGGATGTTTTGGGTCTTTCCAATGACGTTTCGCCCGAGACGGTCTAACGCATCTTTCACTCTATTGAGAAAACCCACGAGAGCATACAATTGAAGGAGGAGAACCATGAGCAATCGTACGAAGATGAGTTCGATACTACTCAAGGTGGAGGAACTCAACAACCTTAATGGACTCGGACTGCTGTGCCGACCGACAGAGGGATGAAATTCGAAATATTCGCACGCCACTTCATGAAGGTGCCCACTGAGAAAAAAGGTGACATACATTTCATATGTGATTGTAACCATTGTACGACCAACTCCAAGAAGAAGTACGCTGTTGTAGCAAATTTTGTTTTATATTTTTCCGAGCACCGAGTTAAAAACTCGTTTCCCGGGTCGATCTCAAGGACTGGTCAATCGAACTATATTATGTGTAATTCAATTTCTTTTATATATATAATAATGCAGAAAATTAATCCAGATTTTTGCTTGACTACAACTAGAAATTTACATAACATTACAGAAACAGAA